CAAAGGTAAAAAGAGCTTTTATTTTAAAGGAAGTATCTTGGAGTAATTATAGAACATGCTGTGGAATATGTGCTAACAGCATAGTCTAGCACACTTGTGTTTGTTATTGTGCATGCACACTCTCTTCCTCCTGAACTGTGTTTAAGAGTGACTTTACATTATAATCTCGATCTTCAAGAAACATTTTGGCTAAACTGTGCCTAGCATTGATAGTGTTAATATATGTGCTGCCTATCATCAACTAGTGTCATGTTCCCTCCCTCCTCCCCCTACCTTTTCACATAACTTTGAGAGCAGGGTAAACTAAGATTTTTAATAGGATTTTGCTTACAGAATTCAGAAATATATGAATGAAGTAATTAAATGAGTTAAAAAGATAAAATTCCTAAGATCACGTTCTGACATAATGAGATAAGAAAGAAAGCTTTATTTCTTTCAGTTGTCATTTGTTCATGTGATACTATACTTGAACATACCTAAATTGGTGTATAAGAATTCTTAAATATACATTAGTAGAGAAAATAGACATCTATGTCTGTGTGTCCCTGTGATGCTTAATGTATGCTTTATATTTAAAAGCTCTGTTCTGATTGATAAAACCTTCTTAAAAATGAACAAACAACACATGAAGACTTTGTGTCAAAACTTTCCACTTACTTCTATAAATGGTGCTGATATTTTCATCAGTACATTGTTGGTGAACAGCGTGTGTGACCTGAAAAGATGGAGAAGCATTGTGCCTATACCTCTGCTTGGCTGCATTCATTATGTCAAATTATTCACAATGGTTTCTCTTTTAGTTTGGCTGGTTCTGTTTCTCCTTCATGATGACATAAAAGATTGTTTTCCTTTCCTCTTCAGCTTTCTTCTTCTTTTAAAATTATCCCATCATCACCTATTTTGAGAAAAAGCTAACATCTCCGTCCCTTCCTCTCTCTCTCTCTCTGTCTCTCTCTCTCTCTCTCTCTCTCTCTCTCTCTCTCTCACTCTCTCTCTTCTCCCCTCTTTCCACCCTCTTCCCCCTGCTCTCTTTTTGTGAGTATAGGAGGATAGTCCCAGTTAAATTTGTCCTGTGCATTTTTTCAAGTTTCTTCCATTTAGAGTTTTTCTACCTTTAAAAAAATGTAAGAAGTTACCTAATACTTTTAATAGTGTTTAGTGAAGTCTGTGATTTTAGTATTTTATTATAAATTATAATGACTATGTTTTGAGAAGAAGTCCTGCCAGATCTAGTTGTAGTTGCAGGACAGTGGGGTGGTTATACAGAATAAGTACAGACTACTAACACAAAAATTTGAAGCTGAAGCAAGTTTTGATCTCTTGTGACATTATAAAGTCTTAACCTTCTGTATTGTACGGTGAAACTAATTATGTGTCAGAGTCTGAACTAGGTATTATAACCATTCAACTGTGAAGTAGGTTAGCATAGTTCACTGAAAGTGTGTTGGAAGCCATCTCAGCAGAACATCAAGGAACTTAGATATTGCACACCAGTGCATGAATTTTTTATATTTATCATGGATTTTGTTGTGTACTTATGCATACTTTGTCATATGTGAATGCTTACTGGAAAGTGTCAAGAACAGTGTTTAGAAATAATAGTTATTTTGTGGGAACTCTCTGGTACAGATCTGTTGAGACAAGACAATCCTGTTCTCAGTTAGTTATGACATTTTTAAGACTGTCTTTTGCTTAATAGCAATGGTCAAAGTTACACAAGGAATAAATGAGGAAATACAACAAAAATTTGTAGAATGAGTAATGAAAAGAGGACCCACAACTGTGAGGGGGAATAGGTAGGAGAGTTGAATACTAGACTTTTTTTTTTTCTGTGAAAGTTAGCAGAGGACTTATGTGGCAAGGTTTTTGTAGCAGGGGAGCTACAGTGGTGTCTTCTGTGAAAGAGGCCTTGTGTGATACAGAACCAGTTCCAGCCATCTCCCAGATGGACCAAAGCTGAGCCCATTGGTGATGATGGTGCCTCTGTGGTAATGTATTTAAGAAAGGGTAAAAACCACTATGCAGTGATGAGAGAGGAGTGAGAAAATATGAGAGGAAATAGCCTTTCAGACACCCAGGGCAGTGAAGAAGGAGGGGAGAGGACGTGCTTCAGGCACCAGAGCAGTACCCTGCAGCCCCTGATGAAGACCATGGTGAGGTAGCTGTGCCCCTGCAGTCCATGGAGGTCCATCGTGGAGCAGAGATCCATCTGCAGCCCCCATGGAGGACCCCACGCTGAAGCAGGGGGAGGTGCCTTGATGGAAGCTGCAGCCTGTGGAGAGGATCCCTCACAGGAGCAGGCTTTCTGGCAGGATGTATGGCTCGTGGGGAGCAGCAGAGATGAAGTGTGGTGAACTTAACCACAACTTGTTCTCCCTTCCCCTGCAGCACTTGGCAAGGAGGAGATAGAAGAGTTGGGGGAAAAGTTGAGTCAAATTTCAAAGCTGGTATCGCCAGTTAAATTGAATGATAGAGGAATTAAAATCTTAGCCACTGTACTTTGATGTTGCCCTGAGCGATAGTTCATGAATTTCCTGAGTTTAACGTTTTTTTCGCTAACTGCATTACTAGCTTTTTTCTCCACCTATAAGCACAGAAAGGGCAAGGATAGTAGATAACAGAATACCTTTTATGTTTACAAAGTCCTTCTCACAATTACACAAACTTCAGAAAGTCAACTACAAGTGTCATAGGAGGGGATATGTAGAACATAGTTTAGTTAGAAGAGAGGGCTGGGGGAGCCAATAAAGACCTTTCCAGTTAGATGAGTCAGCACAAATAGAAGAGTGACTCCCAGCTGTGTTCATTTGCAGCTGAAATAATGAACAGAAAAATAAATAAGCAAAAGATCAAATGTAGTGAAAAGCAAACTTGCCTGTTTTCAAATCAAGATGGCAGTTTTGGGTTGCATTTCCAGGTGTGTGTGGAGTAAATTGGACTTTGAGAGAGAAAACAGTTTCAGATTCATAGATCACAGTTGGGAGTTGCACTATCTGGGGAGATAGTAATGATCGAAGCACTGGTGTTTTAACTCCGTGTTGACTTTCAGTGTTAAGTATGTGAAGACACTTTTACAGAGGAAATAATTGAGTTCCATGTTGCTGTGCTTTGAGTGCAGTACTACTTTTAGAAACACGGTTAACTTTCTTTAAATAAATAGAACAGCATATGGAAAAAAAAAGATAAGTACAGTTTTTGTTGTTGGAGTAGGTTCTGTGCAGAAAATTATAATGATTACCTAAAGAAGCTGTGTCCTGGATATTATACCTGACTCATACAGGAGTGTGTCTGCCTTGGAAAAGGCATAGTTTCTTTTATGGGATAGTTTCTTTGTCCCCAGAATAGGATTATAATAGATTTGAATTCTGTGTGAGTCTTTCTGTTCTTTCAGTTTTGGTGCTTTATTGCGCTACAGAGAATGCTTATGTTCTGTGTGAGAAACAATGCCAAAAGATGAAATGGATGCCTGTTTTACTTGGTGATTCTTGTGGAAAATTTAAAAATTCAGAGAATTATTCTTGCTTCCTCATCCACACTGTTTTGGTTTATACTTTAATTTCTAATATTAATTACTGTGAAAGGGCTACTGCTAGGCTGGTAGAAAATTTTGCTATAGTTTTTAAAATAGCTACAGCTGTGGTCAGTTACAAGTGATGAGAGCAGTAGTAGACTTTTTGATACTGTGAATCACTTGTTGGCGATGCACTGTAACTAACAATTACTAGCGTATCATTTTACCTTGAGAACTTTTAGGCTTCATAGTTCATGCTAGTTTTATAGAATTTGAAGATTAAATTGCAATTCAGTTTCATAAAACAAATCAAAAGAAAAATCATGTAAATATAGTCAAGAAAGTCAATAACGCTTTTTTTTTTAATAGAAAAATGTGTCAGGATTCATAAAAATGAACTGATAATCATACCTTTTACTTTACCAAGTTAAAATTTGAAATCAAGTCAAGAAAAATTAATATTTCAATGTCAGTGAAAATCTTTTTGGGCTGACTTTTGGATAGTTACTCATCTCTCCAACTGATAAAGGAATTACTCAAACAATAGCAGGTGAGATGAAAAATCCTTTATCCTGATTTACTCTGTAAGTAGTGGTTACCCAAAAAAACTACATAGCAATTTTCTTTTAAAATATGTATGGGTAATTTTCTTTTCTTAAATCTCTCAAGAACCACAGCAAAACCGTAACATAATGAGTTGAATGAAGGGATTCTCAGTTAAATATTCAGAAACATTGCTGTATATTTAAATAATGTAATAATTTAAAAAGATTGATCACTTTGGGGTTCAAGCGGAGATATCTGTCTTGTTCTCATTATTTCAAACTCTAGTCTATATTATAGAGCTGCAATCCAAAAATTAAAAATCCATTTAGAGTTAATACATTTAAACAAATATATGCAAATATAATGCCATTTTAGCTATATAGATTGTGTGTTAGATTTCGATGCATGACATTAACTGTAATCTTGGGTTCAGAACAGTTTTGACTACATTAAAACAGACTTTTGATTTCTTATGCTTCTTGAAGTTATTATTCCACACTTCTAAAGATCAAGTTATTTTCCTATCTCTGATTATGGTCTAAATTTTCATGTTTCCTACATTATTTGTGTTAGGATTGTAAATTTATGAGAAAAAAATCACCTTAAGAAAACTCTAGCATGGCACATTTTGGCATATAAGATGAGAGCCTTTCAAAGCTACTTGGACTTGTGCAATAAAGCTGTAACTTCGGTAGATTAGCAAGTAGAGAGCAATTGTTGCAGGCATAGCTATAGGATATATACTGTTAGAGATGGAGACTCGCAGGACTATATATTGTGATGATTTACTATTTTACTGTAGAAGCAGACCTAGGAAATGTAGAAGGAAAACAGAAACGCTATAGGAAAACATAGAAAAATGCACGGATTTAGATAAGTAATTGAGAGAAAAGAAACTTTTTCTTTTCTACAACTAATGACTTGCATATGTTCTCCTCCTTAGGATAACTACACATTTGCACAGCCAGGAATTCAGAAGAAAGTGAAAATGTTGGAAGAACTTGTTAGTCGGATTGATGGTAAGTCTTGATGGCTAAGCTTATTTCTGACTGATGTTTCATTGACAGTGTTTAGTTAAAATGTTTGCAAGAAGACAAGCCAACTTCACTGTAGTCACCTGCAATGGTGGGGTAACATTGCCTTCCTCAGGTGAGGTGTCATCATTAGTTTGTCGCACACCGGCCTTTGCGGATCACTGTCGTGTATCATTTAAAAGAAAGCCTCTAGAGCATGAACCACTTTCATTACTTTTTATTAAGGCAATATAATCAAAATTCAATGGCAATTTCTTTGCAGCAGAGTAATGACCACATACAAAAGGCAGCCAGTATTCATTTCACATTAAGTCTCAATGATTGTTGTAATTCATGCAAGTCACAGTGGTTGTTTATGGTTGTCCTTTGGCACTATGTTTTGTGCCTTTGTGCATCATTTTGCTATCTGGAATGCCTGCATAATTTCTCTGTGGAATCCAATTAATTATGAACTCTGGAAATAACATCTTTAATTTTATAGATAAATTACAGTATGTGCAGGAGTAATTTTAGATTATGCTTTCATGTTTTTGCAGGGGACTTTGAAATATTTTCCACCTTCATCCTTAAAATAATTCCCTTCATGAAATGCTGACTGTCATATTGCTAGAACAGAGTTTAATTAAATGAAATGCAAGAGATAATGCTTGCCCATTCTAAACATACTCTCCTGATAGTTTGTTAAATTAATGAACAGAGTATTAACAAAGTGTTGCCAAGCAGAACCAGGCAACACTAGCCTGTCAGTGATGGCTTAGAAAAAATATTCCTTGTGTAGCTTAATATTTGATAATCTTCTTGGAAACATTAATTCCATCTTTTTGTTATACATACTGTGAAGTTTTTTTGGGCCAGTGCTTACCATAGGAGATTTTGCCTGCTCATATGTACATCCTGAATATTTGATAATGGTCTTTGTGCTTTTCTAGGATGTTAAAGTATTTTTAATGATCAAAAACTAAGGGCAGGAGAACAATGTTTGTGTAATATTGCACTATAAATTCAAATGTATGTAAAAATTCTTGGTGTAGATATATTTTATAAAATGCAAATGCATATGAAAAATAAAAGGGGATATTTCTGTATATTAGGTAGCCAATAATAATATTAAAAATATCTTTAAATCAGTGTATTTAAGTACTTCAAAAATAATCCAACTGCTTGTAATGTGACTTTTTATATGTCATTTTAAGTTTGCATCAATATTGGTGTTTACATTTCACTTATAGAAGCAAATGATTATATATTAAATGGAGTGTATAATTATAAGGCCTATAAATAGACTTCCTTAACTTGGTCAATGAATATTTATATAAAAAAATTGTTTAACCAAGGTTTTAAAATTAAAAATAGCATTCTGATAATCCACTTTATTTTTTGATTTAATAAAAATGTTCAGTATAATACAATATATTATTGTTTGGGTTTTAAGGAAGAAAGACATGCTGAAGTCTTATTTATACCTTCAGTGCTTTGGGGATATAGTTAAATAACTTCTGTAGGTTTAGGAAGCATTGTTTTTAAGATTTCACCTTTAAAAAAATAAGGCAGATAGTTATAGCAAACAGTTGTGTTTTCTTATACTGTCCTTTGATCATTCTTTGTAACTGAAAGTAAAATGTGGTTCCTGATTTTTATTTAATTTAAAATAATTCTGTGGCACCTTTATAATTTTTGTAGCTTTCAGTAGACATTATGAGTGTTTGCTAGTTAATGTTGATTTTTCCTACTGTCCTTAATACTTACAAAGTAAAATCTCAGATTAATTTTAATGCCAGATCATTTCCATGGTTGAGGATGTTTTGAGCAGTATAATTGGAGAAAGCAAAGCAAAATCCTTACTTTAAAGAATTTATCATCCTCTAGGAGGTGTATTTTGCAGCTTGTCTATATGGCATACCTGTAGCATATGTAGAATAGCTGTTAAGGGAAACTATTTTAAAAAGTAATGGGATTACAATGCTTCAGAATGGTGGAAATTTCATTAGATGTTTTTCCATTGAAGAAATTAGGAAGTATTTTAAAAAGCTATCATTGCTCTTTGGAAAAGAAGCTAGTAATTGACATTACGGAAATTTATAATTATTTAGGTTATATGGGGCCTCTGGAAATCAGTGTTCCAAACTTCTGCCCTTGCCTCTCTTGATCTCTATCTAAGGGGACAGGGTCAACTTAGATCGAGCTGTGTAGAGTCTTGCCCTGTCGAGTTATGAGTAATTCTGAGGATGCAGATTGTGCAGCTTCTTCGAGTAAGGCTGATGGAAGTTTAACTACTTCCATTGTGGTTTGGTTTTTTTTTAATAAATAAATAAATAAATAAATATATGTATATTTTAAAATGGAACTTATGTCCACTCCCTTTTATTTTATCTCAGTGTACCTCTGAGAAGAATCTGGCTCCACATTCTCTACATGCTCTCACTAGGTAGTTGCAGCTGTTCATAGAGTTCTTTTTAAGACTGAACAAACCCAGTTCTGTCAGCCTACTTTCATGTGTAAGATGCTTCAGCTCCCTATGCACCCACTGGACTTGCTCATGAATGCCAGTGTCACAGAACTGGATGTAATACTACAGACACGGTTTCCTAAGTTTCCTACAGAGGAAGAATCACTTCTCCTGACCTGTTGGCTTCTCTCTTGCTTAGAAAGCCAACATACATTTGGTCTTTCTGCAAGGACGCTTTTGTCTCAGGTACAGCCTGTTGTCCACCAGGATCCCCAAATCCTTGGCAGCGCTGCTTTCCATCAAGTTGTACCTGGTCAGTGCTTGTTGAATGAGACTATTTCATCCCAGATAGAGGACATTTGCCTCTCCTGAACCTCAGGAGGTTCCTATCAGCCATTCTTTCAGCCTGCCAAGGTCCCTTCAAATAGTAGCTCTCACTTTCAACATGTCAACCACTCCTCCCAGTTTGGTAACATCCACAAACAGTCCACTCTATCCTATCATTAGTTTTTAATAAAGGTGTTGCACAGTATTGACCCCAGCACTAACTCCCGAGGGATGCCATTAGTAAGTAGTTGTCAACTGGACTTTGTCCTACTGATCACAACCTTTATAATAGAGAGGGTCCAGTTAAAAGTTTTGGATAGTAAAAGATACTTTCAATATCCTTAGGGCTGTTATTTTTTGTCTACAAGACTGTCCACTCAGTTACTTTCTTTTGCAAGAAAAGCTCACCAAAGTACATGCAAGATTAAAATAATGTTTTAGTTGTTAATTAGAGAATGATAGATGTGTACTGCTGTCATAAACTTTTGGATGCCTGAGGTAAGAGATCCTGAACTTGTTGGCTTTTTGTTGGCATCATGACAATTTGGTTAAATTATGTATTATTGTGCTTTAGTCTTCATTTCTTTTTGGTTTTGTCTTTTATACTGGGTCTGCTATACTGTAGTTAAAGGGAAATGTATGGTTCATATGAATTCAGTGGCTTTTTAAAAAAAACAAACTCACAATCTATATTATCTGTACATATCCTAAGTGCTAATTAAGGTTACTGTGGAAGAAAATAATGTTCCTGTTTTTACTGTGTCACATTATTTTCTTGATGCTGGGTAACTGCATCGTGAAGAGAATCTTGATGTAGTAAGTGGCTGTGTGAGTGGATGAAGCTCACACAGCTTATTTTCTAATAGTAATGGATTACCAGTGTATGGAAAGTGATGCTTTTGCTTTGGAGAGTGCTAATGCATTATGTTAGTGATTCAAGCAAACTTCATTAACCCAGCATTACGGATCACAACTCCCCTCAAAGTAACTGTCCTTGTGTGTATACTGCAGAACATTGCAGAAGACTTCAAATAGCCAAAATACTCTCAAAATAATTTAATCATAATCTCATTCTACTTAAACTCCAGAAAACAAATTTGATGAATTGTGTTTAATGGAATTTTTTTTGTTTTTTAATTATCATTATTATAGATGAGATGGAATTTGAAGATAAAACATTATTCAGTCTCATTTATCTCCTTGTCATCATAATTCAGATTTTTGTAGGAGTTATAGAAAAAAACTGAGAGGGAGGGTCAATAGATAGCTCAATAATGTAAGAAATCTGTTATAACTAATTCTATTTCCTGTAATGTGTGCAAAGCTTTTCTGCTGTAAATCATGAACCATTTCTCATGGTTTGTAAAAGGTCATACTCACATGGCATACTGTCTTCCACTTTTGCTTCATTTAGACTTGAAAGCAAAGAGACATGGTATAGGAATGCCAAAATTAATTTGGGATTTGTGTTTCCAGAATTTACGGGTGCTCAGCATTTGGCTGGTTTCATGCTTGAGAGAGTCTCAATTTCTTCAGTTTACTATAAGACATCTGGTAATTACATTAGAGCTTGAGGTAGAAGTCTCAGCATTCATAGATAAAAGTAGTCTTGGGTTTCCACAAACATTGGTAAAAGATGTTAAAATCATGTAGCATTCTCTAAAATTAGCTAGAAGGCAGTTCTGTGGAAAAGACCAACCTACTGTAATGTTAAGCATTTTTTATTTATGTTGACTTCTTACTCGTATTGCAGAAAACTATAAAGGCAGTATTGGCGACTCAACTTAGTATAAGTATTTTGCATCTTGTGTGAGGATAAGTTTGAAAAGATTTTTTTCTGCATCTTTTATAGAACAGCTTGGCTTAGGGTTTACATTTTTGTTCTGCACAACCTGATCTTATTTTTTCTTGTAGTAAAGAAGTTCTGTGCTATTAATGTTCCAGATTCTTTCACCAGAAATCACCATCGTTTTGTAGAATTGACCCTCAAATCTTAGTAACAAGTCAGGGAAAAATAAAAATGCAGAAAATTATTAAAAATAAAAAGAAAAAAGGACTTACTGTTGTTGTATATAGCTTTCCCCTTTTCTGGAAAATGGAAGTGATGGAAAAATACCAAAAAACATCAAAAGAGTGCTGCATTTTGACTTTCCCATAAGGAAGTTTATCTAGAATTCAACTACATTTTTCAAAGTTTCAGTAATATTTCAGA